AAAAAAGTATAAAGTTTCATTGAAATAAAAATAAAATTCTCTAAACTAAAGCTTACCATTTCCTGTAAAAACTATAAAAAAATCTCAATCCCCCCAAAAGAAGAATGAGGAGACGAACGGATCCGAAACAAATTCCTCCGCCAATCCGCTGGGCACTGGTTTTCTTTCCAGTCTTTTGATTAAAAAATATTTACAAACTTGTCGAGTCATCATTTAGATTGCTTTAGTTGAGTGGTGCACTAGATCCTAACAGTTCTTTTCGGTCTTTTGAAGAAGAAAATATTAACAAACTTGCTTAAGTGTTTAGCCTCGAGACATTGAAATCTATGAGATGCATTCTTTGAAGAATGAGCTACAATATTATGTCGCTCGTGTGATTCTTAGTCAGGAATATGGATTTTCTTCTCTTGCAAAATTACGAGAGAGACTGGCGGAAATAAGGACGGACATGAAATACAAATTGATTTGTCGGTTGATTCACCTAGTTTGACCTAGCCTGTTTCAACGACAACGACAGAGAGAACATAGCAATGGAAAATGCGAAAACTTATATGCACGAAAAAATGAGCAATGGCATTCTCGTTGATTGCTTAGTTATTTTTTTCGAGAGAGAGTATACTATCGACTATCGGTATGGATGAAAATTCTATTATTGATGAATTTGCCAAATTAAAAGGCTTCTTGTACAATTGGCATTGTAATAAAAACTATAGATATTATATATTTGGGTGCGCCTATGGTGACATGCATATCACCGTAACTTGCACTTTTCGGTCGACCTCAGTTAGGATTAGGTCGACCTAATATGTTGTTTCACTGTAAAAACAGTTTCATGGTGCCTACTTTGGAGATTCATATCTTACAATTGGCTCAATGTAAATTGGAAATTAATGGCTTGTTTTGAAGCTGGAGTGTCCCTCTACACATTGAAGTGCTTGGGAGCTCGATAGGAAGTCTAGAAGACCATTTTTGGACCTGATCAAAAGGCTATGCCAAAACTGGGAAACTGCCTGAAAATGCTTAGTCTGGGAAAGGGTTTGTGATGCCTACTTTGGAACTCAATTCGAGAAGCATGTATGAGATTCGAGTCCAGGGGCCTCTACCACATGAAAATAGGTATGTTTGTCTACAAAGTCAAGGCATTGGATGAAATAAAGGATATCTGGAAGGCTTTAAACAAAAGGCTCAAAGTTTCTACGAAGTAAGCTGCCTTCTAGCACAAGACTGAAACGGCATATTAGGTCGACCTAAAAGAGCAAGCATGTCACCGTAGCAAATCCTATATATTTTTGTTACCGTATGTAATATTCTTCTCAAGTGTGGCCTAGTTCTCTACTATGTCCTGGATCCGCCGATGCTTCCTTCACTCTTTAACTTATTTCCCTTTTGTTAACAATATGTTAGTTATTTATTGCTTAGTAGATGTACAAAATTCGAAGATAGTATTCTACTCTATCTTATGGATTAGTGGCTGTTTTATGATGAGATGCTTTGAATCGTTTTAGTAATTCTATCTTTGCTCATTTCATGATTTATTAGGTTTATTTGTAACTATAATTGAATATCTACATGTTAATGTTGGATGTATGGGGCTGATAATACCTATGGGTATACGAAAAACACTAATACTCCACATGAATATGAGATATGTATGAATTTTGAAAAGGATGATGATCATGGTTCAGGAAAAACCACCGCATTGTCACCCCTGATAGAAATACTTCAATAGTGGCAAAATATATACAAGTAATTCTTTAATAGTAATATTATTTCTCTAAAAAAAGGGTTAGATTGAGGATCAAATAGTTTGTTCTTTAAAAATTTGGGGAATCTTAGGATTGTGAATCAAATGACAACCCAACTTGCATTTCCGTTCTCCAAAACAATAATTAATAATCAAATTTATAAAGTGTATAGTGATCGTTATACCAACCAATATATAGTACTAAACAAAACCGATATCACCATCAAACCTCGATTTGTATAATTACTTTTTTATGTTAATTTTTCATTGGCAGCCTGTAGACAAAGACTTGTGTTTATATTTTAATTGTCACCAAAATAGATGACGGATTCATGGTTTGATTACGTTTTGAGACATTTGTACACCTCCCCTTCTAGAAAAATAAGTACATGAAACTCCTCGATTTCTTTTAGTATTATTATTAGCATTTATTGGTAAAGCACTTCTGGCCAAGCTTAATCAGTATTTCACAAAGTAGTGCACTTCATGTCTCCTAATTAATGATTTTTTTTTATTAATTATGCAAAAGAATATCGTCTAAAAGAACACAATGAAGTATTCTAGAAAGTTAAAGTGAAATGACGGTGTGACACTAATTAAGATTCATAGAAAGCATATAGTGAAAATGAAAGACGTCAAATAGGTTTGCAAATCTCGAATACTCTCACAAAAAAATTATCTTTAGAATAACTTCAAGTAAGGTCAGCTAATCAAGCTCAACCACCGACTTAAATACATTGATTTTTCTTGTAACAAGAAAATGTAACTATTATATTACTTCTTCAGAGCAATGATCAGATGAATTTGAGATAAGTTAGACAAAAATAGTTATGATGGGAAAAGGTTTTATGATTTGATAAATTCTTAGTTGAGCAAGTTTTTAGGTCATCATATACCTCATACCTCTAATGAGTATCTTAGGACGACTTTCAAAACAAGTATTCACAAGAAAGACTAATGATGTAAGGGGAAGACAATGACCAATGTTTTGAAGGACCTTGAAAGCAAGCAACAATCAATACGAAATAGGATGATCACTGGCGAAAATACAAGTTTAAGGTCTGAACAAAAAACAATTTGATGTTAGAAGATAGAACAACTAGACATAGAAGAAAAATAAAAACTAATAAGCTTGTCCGCAAAAAGAAAAACACCACGAAGATATCAAGTAACTTTATAGGTAGTAGTCACGCTAACTATTATTGACAGAAAACTTTGTGAAGACGAACATCGAAACACAAAAGACTTCAACAGATTTGCAAACCTTGAGTAGTCACGCATAACAACCTTTTGAATAGATGTGAACAAAAAAGGAAAAAGAGTAATGATTAAGAGAAAATGGGACAATCCACTCCAGAAAGAGGAAAAACAAACTAATACGTTATATGTATCGAAAAGACGACCAACCAAAAGAATGACAAGTTTCGAGTATGCCAAATAGAACGTAGTCAAAGTAATGATTGTTTTTTCTTTTGAAAACAATACGAAAACGGCTAGTAAAAGTCGAGGACTTCTAGCAGGCTTTCAAATTCTAAATACTAACGTAAACAACCGCCGAATAAATGCGAGCAGAATGGACCAATAGTAACACACACAAAAAAATGCGAACGACCAATGACTAGAAAGAAAAACAAACAAATAAACAACTAGTAAAAGTTAAGAAAACCGTCACTAAAAAACATAAAATTTGAAGTAGACCAATTGACGCGGACCATATTAAATATTTCACGACTTTAAATAAGATCAGCTAATCAAGCTCAACGACTGACTTAAATACATTGATTTTCTTGTAAGGTCAGCTAATCAAGCTCAACGACCGACTTAAATACATTGAATTTGAAATAGACCAATGCGAGCAGAATAACTTCAAGTAAGGTCAGCTAATCAAGTGTTAGCTAATCAAGCTCAACGACCGACTTAAATACATTGATTTTCTTGTAACAAGAAAATGTAACTATTATATTATTTCTTCAGAGCAATGATCAGATGGATTTGAGATAAGTTAGACAAAAATAGTTATGATGGGAAAATGTGTTATGATTTGATATATTCTTAGTTGAGCAAGTTTTTAGGTCATCATCTACCTCATACCTCTAATGAGTATCTTAGAACTGACTTTCAAAACAAGTATTCACAAGAAAGACTAATGATGTAAGGGGAAGACAATGACCAATGTTTTGAAGGACCTTGAAAACAAGCAACAGTCAATACGAATTAGGATGATCACTGGCGAAAATAAAAGTTTTTAAGGTCCGAACAGAAAACAAATTGATGTAAGAAGATCGAACAACTAATGACATATAAGAAAAATAAAACTAATAAGCTTGTCCGCAAAAATAAAAACACCACGGAGAGCTCAAGTAAGTTTATAGGTAGTAGTCACACTAACTATTATTGACAGAAAACTTTGTGAAGACGGACATCGAAACACAAAAGACTTCAACAGATTTGCAAACCTTGAGTAGTCACGCAGAACAACCTTTTGAATAGATGTGAACAAAAAAGGAAAAAGACTAATGATTAAGAGAAAATGGGACAATCCACTCGAGAAAGAGGAAAAACAAACTAATACGTTATATGTATCGAAAAGAAGACCAACCAAAAGAATGACAAGTTTCGAGTATGCCAAATAGAACGTAGTCAAAGTAATGATTGTTTTTTTTATAAAAACAATACGAAAACGGCTAGTAAAACCGAGGACTCTAGCAGGCTTTCAAATTCTAAATACTAACGTAAACAACCGCCAAATAAATGCGAGCAGAATGGACAAATAGTAACACAAAAAAAAATGCGAACGACCAATGACTGGAAAGAAAAACAAACAAATAAACGACTAGTAAAAGTTAAGAAAACCGTCACTAAAAACAGAAATTTTTAAGTAGACCAATTGACGCGGATCATATTAAATATTTCACGACTTTAAATAATTACAACTTCAAATAACCAAATCCTTGTATATATATATTTTTTTTAAAGAGACCAAATCCTTATATCAAATACTACCAGTTCATATGTGATAAATTCAATCATCTCGTATTAACGCGTATTAGAGTGTTGTATTGCACGCATTATTTCGAATTGTAACTGCCTCCTGTATACTTCCTCTCTCTTTCTTTCTTTTACTTGCTGCCACTGGCACTGCTACCATAGCAGCAGCTGTTCCCTTCTCAACTTTTCTTCCTCCCTTTTCCTTTTTTTTTTCCTTCTAATTTCTTATAATAAATATTTCTTTTTTGCTCCCTTCATTTCTTTTCTTTTGGGAGTTCGCCGGAATTTCATTTTTGAACCAGATTTGCTTCTTTTTTTTTTGTTTGTTTGTTTGTTTTCCTGCGTTTTCCCTCTCTCCCTCTCTTTCTCTTCCGCTCTGCTTTTCTCGGCGGTCCAAACAGAAGAGGAAAGAAGGAAAGAAAGGTGGCGATTGGCAAATCAAATGTGATGGGAAGTGGTCTCTCCTCCCTCTTCCCCTGTCTCAAGCCGGCGGCCGCCAACCACCGGAGCCACCACGACCACCAGCCGGACCTGATCTTCACCGCCGAGCAGCCCTTGGACGAAACCCTAGGACACTCCTTTTGCTACGTCCGATCTTCCAACCGTTTCCTCTCCCCGACCCCTTCCGATCGCTTCGTCTCTCCTTCCAGCTCCCTCCGCTTCTCCCCGACCCGAACCGGGCCCGAATCCGCCGCTCCAGCTCCCGCTGCCGCAGCAGGCGGCGGGGCGACCGCGTTCAGGACCATTTCCGGTGCCTCGGTCAGCGCCAACACTTCCACTCCCAGGACCGTGGTCCAGCTCGACGGAATCTACGACGACGTCGCTGACGGCGGCGGCGGCGGGGTCAAGAACAGCATCAGCAACAGTTGCAGTGGCGTATTCAGCGCCAATGCCTTCGAGAGCACGGCGTCTTTTGCTGCCGTGCCGCTGCAGCCGGTGCCACGTGGCGGGGAGGGGTTTTTCCAGTCCGGCCCGATCGAGCGGGGCGCATTGTCCGGCCCGCTTGACGCCAATTCGGGCATGGGGGAGAGCGCCGGCGGTGTGCACTTCTCGGCCCCTCTCGGCGGGATGTATGTGAAGAAGAGGAGGCGGAGGGCCATCCCGAGGCTGAAGAAGGCCATTTATCGCAACCTATCGGAGAAGAAGCTCCCGTGGGTGGTTCCCGTGTTGAATTTCGTGAACCGGAGAGAGAATTCCGCCGGTGGAGAAGAGGGAGATAGCAAGTACGAGAACAGTGTACAGTGGGCTCTGGGGAAGGCCGGAGAAGATCGAGTGCATGTAGTTGTATCGGAGGAGCAAGGATGGTTGTTCGTTGGGATATACGATGGGTTTAACGGCCCTGATGCTCCTGAATTCTTGATGGGGAATCTTTACCGAGCTGTGCATCACGAGCTTCAAGGATTGTTTTGGGATGTTGAGGAGTCTGGAGACGCGCCGGCGGCTGCTGCTACTCAGTCCGAATCGGGAATTCCGGAGCAGAATGAATGCGGAACAAACCAATCGACGGAGGAGACTGGTAAGGATGGCAGTGTGGGTGTAAATGGTAGTTGTGAATCTAGTTTAGTATCTCATGGTCAAGATAATGTTGTTGCTAGGGCTAATTGTAATGATCTAGATTGTGAAACTGGATCAAGCAATCCAGCTCAAGCTAACTCATCAACTGAAATATGTGTTGTAAAAGAGAGTGATGATATGAATGATGGAATTGAACAGACTTCGGTACATCACCAAGATAGAGTAAAGCGGGTTACATTTCAATCAGACGGCACCGAGATTCCTTGTAGGAGAAAGTTGTGGGAGTTTCTTGCCAATGAGGACTTGGAGGATGGGCTTGATCTTTCCGGGTCAGAAAGATTTGCGTTCTCTGTTGATGATGCTATCAGTGTAGGCAATGCCGGATCAGCAACGAGCAATCGGTGGTTACTACTGTCAAAATTAAAACAAGGGTTGTCAAAGCACAGAGAAAGAAAGTTGTTTCCTTGGAAATTTGGGTTGGAGGGCAAGGAAGAAAAAGTGGAAGTGGAGATAGCTAGAGTGGAGGATAGGGTTTTGAAGAAGATGCGAAAAGAAGGGCCAGTCGACCATGACTTAGTTTTGAGGGCATTGTCTCGGGCGTTAGATGTGACGGAGCTAGCATATTTGGATATGACCGATAAGGTGCTAGGTACAAATCCAGAGTTGGCATTGATGGGGTCATGTTTATTGGTGGTTCTGATGAGGGATGAGGATGTATATGTAATGAATGTTGGTGATAGTCGGGCAATTGTGGCACAGTATGAGCCTCAAGAGGTTCTTTCAAATGCGGGTGATAATGGGTCGATCACTGAAGGTATAGTTGAAGGTCCTGCTCAGGCAATGAGCTTGACTGCATTGCAGCTGTCCACCGACCACAGCACGAGTGTTGAAGAGGTAAGTCGTTGTCCATGTTCACTAGTCTAGTTACTGAATTACTGTGCCCAAAGTTCTGAATTCTATTCTTTTTTGTCTCAGCTTCTATTCGTAGGTATCATATTGATCTGGTAGAAACTTGCTTGTTATAGTGAACTAACCTCTTTAGAAGTAGTCGCATCATTTTTATCTCTCTTCACAACCAACAAGTAGAACTATGAGGCGATATTTGTATTTGCATGTGGCCAGTAAGAATATACAATTCTTACATTTGCTCATTTGTACCGTTTTGTGGCTAGATAGGCTCCGTGGTTCAGATCCCAGAATAGAATATGACAGTCTAATTTATGATTAGTGACCTAAAGGATGCAACTGATCGCTTGTCCATCTTGTAAGGCAAAATTTGGAGGGACCAGATTTTGTTCATTTCTGCTTCTCCATAATGCTTACCAGTTGCATTTGTTCTTTTGTGCCTTGCCGTATCCTTCTTATTTACTCCATCTAAGTTAGGTGCCTGTCGATTAGATGTTTTGACCAGCCTGCCTTTCTTATATGAGCTTTGGCAACTGCGGAAGTGTATTGGTTATTTGTTTAAAACCATCTTCATAGGCCATAGCAGCCTGTCTTTTCGGTTATGCACTTATTTGATGGCAAGAAAATCAACAAAGTGAATGTTAACCCTTTGAATCCTGTAAATAGTGTGAATTGATGATTGGGTTTCATCTCATGGTAGATGATGCAATGTGTTTGTCTTTCAAGCTCACTGATATTCATTATGTAGAAGGGCTTCCACCCTGACAGATGCTGATGCTAGAGACATTGATCTGAATAGTGCGTATAAGTGAGCTTATTCACAATGATGTTTAATTAATGAAATTCGAATTGGTTTCTTTGTCCAATGATTCAATGATGCCTTGAGCCCTAGAGTGCAAGTTTGTGAAATATATGTTCTGTCAGTTAGCATTATCAGAAGATTCGGTTAGACATTTTATATGGATGTGTAGACTTGTTGTTCATTGTTGATTCCCATTTAGTTGAACTTCTGTCACATTTTAGAACATCATATTTTTTTCTTGGTGAACGTCACCATTGAACTGGGGGATTGATCACTCTTGCAGGAAATTCTAAGGATCAAGAATGAACATCCAGATGACAGCCAGTGCATTGTCAATGATAGAGTGAAAGGTCGTCTTAAGGTTACCAGAGCATTTGGAGCTGGATTCCTGAAACAGGTACAGAAACTAAACTCCTTAGATCTTTTCTTTGTCGCGGATAATTTAGGAGTGTGTTTTACCTAGAAATTCTGCATCCTGAGATTACGTGGAACTTGTACCATAATTTTAGTTTTGTAACCTTCTTATGGACAAGTTGGAAATCGGTGCTTCATGGGGAACGACCTCTATGACCAGTCCTAAGGGGAAAACTAACCTATGCTTTCCGCATCATCTACTTGAGTGATATACAAGACAATGGATTTATAGACCATAATAACAGATGGTTTTCATGTTTTGGCAGCCAAAATTGAATGCTCCATTGTTGGAAATGTTTCGTAATGAGTATATAGGCACTGCACCTTATATATCCTGCATACCTTCTCTTCGTCACCATCATCTCTGTCCAAGAGATCAGTTCTTAGTTCTATCATCCGATGGCCTATATCAATATCTCACAAATCAGGAAGTGGTTTCTATTGTTGAAAATTTCATGGAGAAGTTTCCAGAGGGTGATCCTGCACAGAGCTTGATAGAGGAACTTCTTTCCCGTGCAGCCAAGAAAGCGGGTAAGTTGTGCAACTCTCTCTCTCTCTCTCTCTCTAAGCATGTTCGTGCAAGGTCATTGATACATCTTGAGAATATTGTAGGCTAACCTGGTCGCAGGCTACAGTCTAGTCTGATCAGAAGTAAGTTTCAAATGGGCAGTAGCTTTATGGTTGCTAGTTGCTACTTAACAAAATATCATCATACTAGTGTTACTGCAGCTTGTTTTATTCAAAGAACTTATGATATCCTCCAAAGAGTAATAGTTTATTGCCAATTTCCTGCTATTTTGTTGGTGGAATCGTTGAGATTTGAGAATGTGTGTATCAAAGTCTCTGAGTATGTTCTTGGTATTTCTGTCTTCTCTAAACATCCGAGACTAATAGTGAACAGGTTTGTTGTTGGTATTTCTGTCTTCCACAATCACGGGGTTGCTTAATTTTGTCAACCGTGTTTACTTTCTCACCATTTGGCGGTTGTGTCATGCATAACTCTATTGTTTAAGGTTGTGCCTTCCTAAGGTTTGTTTGATATCGTTTCCCAAGTTCTAGTCCTCGGTTTGATTTTCTGATTCGTTAAGTTGATCCGCATTCATCCGCAGGGATGGATTTTCACGAGCTTCTGGACATCCCACAAGGAGATCGACGGAAATACCATGACGACGTTACAGTCATGGTGGTGTCCCTCGAAGGAAGAATCTGGAAATCATCAGGAAAATACCTTTAATAACAGTCACAGCTCAAAAACCAGCAGCAGCAGCCTTGCATATACAACTTGGTGAAGATCAAGGGAACAATTTTTGATTCTCAGCTGGTTGAGAAATCAGATTACAACTAGAGGTCGAGGTCGTCCATCTATCATGGGCACAGAGAATTCTTATCTTTTGGGGGAGGTGGTGATGTACAGTTAAATGGGGTCGGGGGCCAAAGTGCTGAATGATATGTTACCAATGAATAGATGAGCTGTTGGTTCAAGAAAGAAAAGGGGGGGAAAACACAAAAAGAGATGAGAGAATCTGGTGATTGATGGGAGAGTTTGGAGAAGGGGGAGGTGGAGGAGAAAAAAAGTTTTGTTTGTTTTTGGTCATGTCCATTCTTGTTTTCTTTTAGCTCTTCTTTATAGGATAGGGAGACTTTTCTTTTGCCTTTTGGGGTTGCGAGGTAATGGGAAGAAGGGGTTGTTCAGTAGGGCAAAAATCTGTCTGTAATTTGAAATGGGGGGCTGGTATAGAGATGACTTTTGGAGCTTATTTGCAGGTAAAGTTTGAGCTCTCTATGACTTTGCAGCTAGGTTTTCCTCATCATGCCATTTCCAAGGCATTTTCTTTTGCATTTTTGCTTGTTCCATAGTGTCGTGTTTCGACTGAATCGGCTAAGGGTTACTGTGATGGAAAAGTAAGCAAGCTTTCATACTTGATAGTCATTTTGCAGGTCAAGTTGAGCTGTGGCTTGCAACTTAGGTTTTCACTTTGGTGCTTTACCTGACATTAATGGCTGCAGCAAAATTCCTAGAAACTCAACTGGGTTGAGTATCAATAATAACATTACAAAAACAAAGACCATAGCATCGAGAGGTAAAATGTGCAAAATGTGTAAAACTTCAAGCAGTGACAGCAGCCGGAGAAGGCGGCGCCATTGCCCTCGACTCCAGCCAGGCCACCAAATCCTCCCGGCCAGCCACGAAGCTCGACATCCCTTGAGCAAACTTGTGGGTGCCAGCCCCTGTGTGAGCTGAGAACAGCTCCGGCAGCTCCTCGTTCTTGCTCGCGAACTTTGCCAGTGTCCCTATCCTGTGCTTGATTGTCTGCGACTGCATCGCCACCGTCTCCTCCACCGCGAAAGACTCACCGTCGCTGCTCATCAGTGTGATCAACTTCTTCTCCGCCGTCGACATTGTTACGGCCGGCGATTGGATCTCTTGATTATTAATTAGTTTCTCCGGGGTATCTGTAGGGACAATGACGGAAATATTGTTTTTAAAATTTTTTTTTACCACCAATATGACGGATTAAAAAGTAGGGTTATAGGTATAATATGCCTCTCCACTATGACGTTTTATCAAACATGCTCTTCTACTAATTTTTACATCAAACATGCCCCTGTACTTTGTAAAAATGATCAAACATGCTCTTTTGTTTAAATTTTCATCCAAAAACCATTAACCAAGGTCGAACTTTGGTCAGGGCGGCACAAATGTCTAAAATATCCCTAATAATTTCACTTTAGAATTTTTTTGTTCTTTTGTATAGCCAAATAATTCGAATAATTTTATTTTGAAGAGACCCAGAGAAATAAAACGGAAGGCAAAACTGACATCATCGCTCCCATTTCTCGATGTCGGGTCGTCTAATTCTCGGTTCAACTATGATTGACGATTTTTTCAATGGAAATTTTAACAGAAGGGCAGGTTTGATAATTTTTTCAAAGTATAGGGGCATGTTTGATGTAAAAAATAGTAGAGGGGCATGTTTGATAAAACGTCATAGTAGATGAGCATATTATACCTATAACCCTAAAAAGTATTGACACAGTCATTGTGTTTTGGAGAGAAAAACCAGCGGGACCACCTCAGACTCAGGCGCTGCCGTTGTTTATGTCGTTTTGGATCATTTGTTTAAGGTGACAGCGGCGGCGCCCAAGACTGAGGTGGCACCGCCTGAGGCTGAGGTGAATCGGTTGGAATTTGTACTTGGCGCTGGCGCCCAGGACTATGGCGGGTCCGCTGGCTTATTGCTGGCTACCCCCCTATAAAACCAGCGAATTTCGTTTCAGTTATTCACACTACAAAAAAAATCGACGAAGATAGAGGAGGAGAGCTCTGGTTGCTGTTGCAAAAATGGCTAATAGGTAAGAGACACATTTATTTTTTTAATTATATTATTCAAATGCTATTATGATTGTATTTAGTTTTAATTAGTGAGTTTGTTTTCTGTAGTGATTTTAGAAGATTTGAACTAGTCGTTCGGTGGAAATCGGAGAAAGTAGAGGATAATTTGGGTGTCAAATTCGTTGGTGGTAGTAGTTTTCAGTTGACGGTTCCATCCATGGTCACATATCACAAACTTTGTGAGAATCTAATTCCGAGAATACGACGTAGAGACGAAGCACTACAAGATAGTGATGTAATCACAGGTTTCACTTACTGTCTTCCAGAATGGCAGAATGATGTTTCATTTCATTATGCGATGCCTATTGTGGATGATGATAGCTTGAATGTGCTTTGGAATTTGATGGCACAAAATCCTTATTGTTTGGGTGCTGAGATACATGTTGAGCTCAGTGAGAATCGGGGTGGAGAGGAAGAAGATGATACATGGAGCGTGCCATCCGATCATCATGACTATGATGACGGTGATGACAGAGAGGAGGAGGAGGAGTAGGAGGAGGAGGAGGAGGAAGAGGGGGAAGGAGAGCAGCCTAATTATCCTCCATATTTTTACTTGCAGGGTAATGAAGAGGACGGCGAATGATCACTTGATGATTCATATGGCGTAATTCCAATGCCTATTGTTGCTAGTTTTAAAGGATAATTCTACAAGGGGCAGATATTTCACTCGAAACAAGCTGCACATATGACGATTAAACACCACGCACTACAACACAACTTTCAATATGGCGTAGTGGAGTCGTCACCTTCAATCTGGAAGGTCAGATGCTTGATGCACAAGGATGACGATTGTCCTTGGATGGTGCGGTTTGGATGTCGAGATGTTGGAGGCGAATGGACTGTGAGAAAAGGCAGAGTTGGTGCATTCTTGTAGCAGTACGACTCAACCGACGGATCATCGCCATCTTGATGTCGACATGATATCTGAGGCTGTCAAACATTTGGTACGTGCCCAACCAAATCTGAGTGTTCTAACTGTGCAGGCCGAGTTGAAAGATAAGTTTAATATGCAAGTTACTTACAAGAAGGCTTTGTATGGGAAACAAAGAGCATTGGAGAAGTTGCATGGAAATTGAGAAGAATCCTACGATTATTTGCAAACATTCTTGCGGGTGGTCAAGAGAAAAATGCCAACATCGGTGATTGATTGGGTAAGAGTTCCTTCAGCTCAACCAAGGCATTCGATCTTTCAGCCAGTATTCTGGGCTTATGGACCTTGTATAGATGGACTCAAGAATTGTCCAGGAGTCCCGGTTGTTGATGGAACATTTCTTTCTGGAAAGTATAAAGGAGTGCTACTCATGGCGAGCTCATTTGATGGCCGGAAGAAGATTTTTCCAATAGCATTTGCCATCATGGAGAGCGAGAATACTGAAAGTTGGCCATGGTTCATAAATCACGTTCAAGGTTTGACCGATCGAAATGATGTCTACATCATCTCAGATAGACATGCGGGACTCTATGAAGTCATGGGTGACATTGGAAGATGTTGGGAGTGGAGGTGGTGCATGCGACACTACGCAAACAACTTGTAAAGAAAGACTAAAAGCAAAATCATGTATAAGCAACATTTCGAGTCGGTAAGCCTTTTTCATTTAATTTTGGTTATTTACTTTAATGTAATTTTGTCATGATTTTGTCTAACTCGTGTGGTCATTTACTTTGTTAGCCGGAGAAAAACGCTTGGAGAAAAACTCTGGTGACATCTCGATACCACTCCATATACTCCGACTGGTAGGCTAAGACCTCATCACTGTATGGAGCCGTCGCTACGAATTGTCGATGGTTCCAGAAAGCAATCGACTCTCTGTAGTGGTGTACCAACTGTTGCCCACGCGATGGCCCACGAGTAGTCTGACGAAGAAAAAACCTAACCTCAGCCTCAGAATGTGGCAAATGAGGCTCATGCTACCTCATGCCAAGCTGCCGGAGCACGCGGTCAGGATGGTGCCACATCACCGATGAAAAGCAGATAAGTGGCACTACTGCTCGAAACGTCTCAGACTATATCACACTACCTCTGAGATGAAGTGCTCTCTCAATCTCTCAACGTAAGGTTGTCACTACACAAAAAAATGGTCACATTAATATCCCTAAATCTAAAACAAACAAATGAAAACTATTTTATACAATGAAATGTTATATACTAACCACCATGGTGTCCATCTCGGCAAACCACAACTTGTACTGGAATAGTTGGTCACCATACTGACGAGTGTTGGCCGGAAGCCATCGAAGACCGCGTGGGGATGCATCCTCAGAAATATGCGCCCTCGTCTCTGAATGTCGCGGTGCCAGATGTGGGAATCGCTCCCACGCCCAGAGCTGTAGTAGGGCGACCCATCCACCAAGGTCACCGCCTAGAGAAGTGGAGGAATGCGTAATGTGCAAAGCCGACCTACCCATCTCACGGTACAGGTAGGATAAAACAGTTGCTCCCCAGGCAAACCGTCCTGCTCTCTGCGAATCCTCAACCAGAAGTGGGTACTGTAGGTGCAGCGTAGCTCCAGGCCGATTCGGGAACAGTACACCTCCCATCATAGATAGAGCATAAGCTCATGCAAACTGCTCTATAACCTCCTGGGATGCATTTCCCGGCAGATGACTGAATTCATCCCTCAGACAAATAGTCATAACGACACCAACACCGCCTGGAACATCAGCCGGAACCCGTTCTAACAGTCTCAAACAGATCGTCGACCACTCCTCATCCGGTATGTCAACTACGATGGCATCACTGTCGATCGCCAGACCGGACAGTGTCACAACGTCCTCTAACGTGATCGTGACCTCACCAAACGGTAAATGGAAGGTCGAGGACTCGGGTCGCTACCGCTCTACGAGCGCAGTAATCAAAATCGCATCGGAGTTCATAGGGACCAGGGGCAAAACACTAAACAAGCCAGCCGCTTCGAGATATGGCCGATAAGCTCATGGTACGTCACTAAATTGGTCGTACCTCGAACATAGTAAGATCGATCACCAGCCTATAGTGCACAAAAACTTATATTAATTCAATTTCATTTGTAATAATTTTAATTTCACCTAATAAATTCTAATCTATCTAATCTAATCTCAAATTATACTAATGTCAAAAAATTTGATACGTAATCCTATTCTAATTTCAGTACAGTTCAGTTCACCAACTAAAATAATATAATTAGATAATTAACTTTACAGGAATAATTATCAAATACTTACCTCGTTTGCCCATATTGAGTCGATACGATGTTGGCCATGTCCCCAAAGAAGTATCGGATCGACCGGAGCTGGATCAATTGTCGCCGACGGTAGTCTCATCGAATAAGGGTCCATAAGCCTAGGAACTGCAAAAGCAAAGCAACAAAAACATTAATTAAAAAAAAACACTAAACATTAATTAAAAAAAAAACACTAAACACTAATTAAAAAAAAAAACCTGCTGCCGGCGAGACCCTCACCGCAAAAACGGCCGCCACCTCCACGACCTCACCGACCTCTCCCCCTGCCTCTGCCGGCGACAACTTCGTCTTCGTCGGACGACATCTCCGTCGAACTCAGGCAGTGGCG